ATGTCACAGTGATGTTGCAGTGATGTCACTGTAATGTCGCAGTGATGTCGCAGTGATGTCACATTAATGTCACAGTCATGTCGCAGTGATGTCGCAGTGATTTTGCAGTGATGTCACGGTGATGTCGCAGTGATGTCACAGTGATGTCGCAGTGATAGCGCAGTGATAGCACAGTGATGTCACAGTGATGTCGCAGTGATGCTGCAGTGATGTTGCAATGATGTCACAGTGATGTCGCAGTGATGTCACAGTGATGTCACGGTGATGTTGCAGTGATGTCACAGTGATGTCATGGTGATGTCGCGGTGATGTCGCAGTGATGTTGCAGAGATGTCGCAGTGATGTCGCAGTGATGTTGCAGAGATGTCGCAGTGATGTCACTGTAATGTCGCAGTGATGTCACATTGATGTCGCAGTGATGTCGCAATGATGTCATGGTGATGTTGCAGTGATGTCACGGTGATGTCGCAGTGATGTCACAGTGATGTCATGGTGATGTCGCAGTGATGTCGCAGTGATGTCACTGTAATGTCGCAGTGATGTTGCAGAGATGTCGCAGTGATGTCACTGTAATGTCGCAGTGATGTCACATTGATGTCGCAGTGATGTCGCAATGATGTCATGGTGATGTTGCAGTGATGTCACGGTGATGTCGCAGTGACGTCACAGTGATGTCATGGTGATGTTGCAGTGATGTCGCAGTGATGTCACTGTAATGTCGCAGTGATGTTGCAGAGATGTCGCAGTGATGTCACTGTAATGTCGCAGTGATGTCACACTGATGTCGCAGTGATGTCGCAATGATGCCATGGTGATGTCGCAGTGATGTCACAGTGATGTCATGGTGATGTTGCAGTGATGTCACGGTAAGGTCAAAACAACAAAAGTAGGTTAACAAAAAGTTCATGTGCAGGTGTACCTCCAGGATTCCGATATTGGAGCTCTCAGGTGTGGTCAGGATGTAACTTCGAGCAATTGACCGGAAAGGAGTTTTAATTTCCAGAAGACTCCTCATGATCGACTCGTCGTTGAGTTTCTGTAAGACAATGACTTAGTCAGCAACTTTTACAATGTCCACAACAACAATCAGGACAACGTAAACAAAGAGACAATTTAATCAACAACCCCTAACCCTAACCCCCCATCAACAAACAATCACAACTACTGACTCCCAATCAACAAACAATAACAACTACTGACCCCCAATCAACAACCAATCAACAAACAATAACAACTACTGACCCCCAATCAACAAACAAGAACAACTACTGACCCCCAAAAAACAAACAATAACAACTACTGACCCCCAATCAACAAACAAGAACAACTACTGACCCCCATCAACAAACAATAACAACTACTGACCCCCATCAACAAACAAGAACAACTACTGACCCCCAAACAATAACATACAAATAAATCAACATCTTTGAACTGTAAGTACTGAACTGTGTCTGTTCCAGTATAAAGGGGTTGTGGTACCAGTTCCAGTATAAAGGGGTTGTGGTACCAGTTCCAGTATAAAGGGGTTGTGGTGCCAGTACCAGTATAAAGGGGGTGTGGTACCAGTTCCAGTATAAAGGGGTTGTGGTACCAGTTCCAGTATAAAGGGGGTGTGGTGCCAGTACCAGTATAAAGGGGGTGTGGTACCAGTACCAGTATAAAGGGGTTGTGGTACCAGTACAAAGTTTTATTTGAAGATCTGTGTCTGACCTTCCTGCTGACTTGCGTGTCGATGAAGACGATATCGTCCAGAGTCAGGACTAGTTTGGTGAGGTTTGATGATCTCTTGTACTTCCTGTACACACACACACACAAATATACATAAATGATTTTGGTATTCAAAATTCAGTCTGTGTGTGTGTGTGTGTGTGTGTGTGTGTGTGTGTGTGTGTGTGTGTGTGTGTGTGTGTGTGTGTGTGTGTGTGTGTGTGTGTTTTGCATTCACTTGATCCAGTAGAGTAAAGCTCCAATCAGAACGCAGAGCAACAAGAAGATGAAGAACATCGTAATCGAGTCCAAACCTGCAGAAAAAAAAATAACATTTTCATCCTGAAAAAAAAAAGAGCTGAACTTTCCCAGCAGCACCTGAACACCTCATCTATTCAAGAAATCTACATTCCACATGATCCCACTCTCCCTATAGGTCATTAAACGCACCGCCGCTGCAGGCCTCGTCCGGGTCGAACCAGCAGAAACTGGCCGTGGGGGGTTTTCCTCCGGGGAAGGTGAGTGAGCGACTCAGTGGTTTCAGACCACCGACTGTCCCGTCCGTGTGGGTTGGAGCGAGAGAGTGAGTCGGCACGAGTCGGTCGCCATCGCTGTCCAACACTACGTACCTGGCCTGAAGACCACGCCCATCTTTTCCTCCATACAACACCTGAAAAAAAATGGATGAAGCTGCATGATGAGACTAAATTTATCATAAACCACCGTATCCATCATCCCTCTTTTTATAATGAGTTTAAAGATATTGAGAGTGAAAGTGAAAGTTTTGGACCTGGTTGAAACCCTGGAAGTCGAAGCCTCCGTCTGAGTGGACCAGCTGAGTGCCCGTCACCCAGTGCCCGCCCCCCGCCTGACGACGCTCCTCCACTGCCTTGGCAATGAAGTACACCATGTTAAAGATGGTCCCAAACACCGGAGACACCTGCAGACAACGAGCAGGTCAAAATAAACCAATCGTGTGTACTTCCTGTGTGTAGTCACAGTTGGTCTACTTCCTGTGTGTAGTCACAGTTGTGTATTTCCTGTGTGTGGTCACAGTTGTGTACTTCCTGTGTGTAGTCACAGTTGGTCTACTTCCTGTGTGTAGTCACAGTTGTGTATTTCCTGTGTGTAGTCACAGTTGGTCTACTTCCTGTGTGTAGTCACAGTTGGTCTACTTCCTGTGTGTAGTCACAGTTGTGTATTTCCTGTGTGTAGTCACAGTTGGTCTACTTCCTGTGTGTAGTCACAGTTGGTCTACTTCCTGTGTGTAGTCACAGCTGTGTATTTCCTGTGTGTGGTCACAGTTGGTCTACTTCCTGTATGTAGTCACGGTTGTGTACTTCCTGTGTGTAGTCACGGTTGTGTACTTCCTGTGTGTAGTCACAGTTGTGTATTTCCTGTGTGTGGTCACAGTTGTGTACTTCCTGTGTGTAGTCACAGTTAGTCTACTTCCTGTGTGTAGTCACAGTTGTGTATTTCCTGTGTGTAGTCACAGTTGGTCTACTTCCTGTGTGTAGTCACAGTTGGTCTACTTCCTGTGTGTAGTCACAGTTGTGTATTTCCTGTGTGTAGTCACAGTTGGTCTACTTCCTGTGTGTAGTCACAGTTGGTCTACTTCCTGTGTGTAGTCACAGTTGTGTATTTCCTGTGTGTAGTCACAGTTGGTCTACTTCCTGTGTGTAGTCACAGTTGGTCTACTTCCTGTGTGTAGTCACGGTTGTGTATTTCCTGTGTGTGGTCACAGTTGTGTATTTCCTGCGTGTAGTCACAGTTGGTCTACTTCCTGTGTGTAGTCACGGTTGTGTATTTCCTGTGTGTGGTCACCGTTGTGTACTTCCTGTGTGTAGTCACAGTTGTGTACTTCCTGTGTGTAGTCACGGTTGTGTACTTCCTGTGTGTAGTCACGGTTGTGTACTTCCTGTGTGTAGTCACAGTTGTGTACTTCCTGTGTGTAGTCACGGTTGTGTACTTCCTGTGTGTAGTCACAGTTGGTCTACTTCCTGTGTGTAGTCACAGTTGTGTATTTCCTGTGTGTGGTCACAGTTGTGTACTTCCTGTGTGTAGTCACAGTTGGTCTACTTCCTGTGTGTAGTCACAGTTGTGTATTTCCTGTGTGTAGTCACAGTTGGTCTACTTCCTGTGTGTAGTCACAGTTGGTCTACTTCCTGTGTGTAGTCACAGTTGTGTATTTCCTGTGTGTAGTCACAGTTGGTCTACTTCCTGTGTGTAGTCACAGTTGGTCTACTTCCTGTGTGTAGTCACAGCTGTGTATTTCCTGTGTGTGGTCACAGTTGGTCTACTTCCTGTATGTAGTCACGGTTGTGTACTTCCTGTGTGTAGTCACGGTTGTGTACTTCCTGTGTGTGGTCACAGTTGTGTACTTCCTGTGTGTAGTCACAGTTAGTCTACTTCCTGTGTGTAGTCACAGTTGTGTATTTCCTGTGTGTAGTCACAGTTGGTCTACTTCCTGTGTGTAGTCACAGTTGGTCTACTTCCTGTGTGTAGTCACAGTTGTGTATTTCCTGTGTGTAGTCACAGTTGGTCTACTTCCTGTGTGTAGTCACAGTTGGTCTACTTCCTGTGTGTAGTCACAGTTGTGTATTTCCTGTGTGTAGTCACAGTTGGTCTACTTCCTGTGTGTAGTCACAGTTGGTCTACTTCCTGTGTGTAGTCACGGTTGTGTATTTCCTGTGTGTGGTCACAGTTGTGTATTTCCTGCGTGTAGTCACAGTTGGTCTACTTCCTGTGTGTAGTCACGGTTGTGTATTTCCTGTGTGTGGTCACCGTTGTGTACTTCCTGTGTGTAGTCACAGTTGTGTACTTCCTGTGTGTAGTCACGGTTGTGTACTTCCTGTGTGTAGTCACGGTTGTGTACTTCCTGTGTGTAGTCACAGTTGTGTACTTCCTGTGTGTAGTCACGGTTGTGTACTTCCTGTGTGTAGTCACAGTTGGTCTACTTCCTGTGTGTAGTCACGGTTGTGTACTTCCTGTGTGTAGTCACAGTTGGTCTACTTCCTGTGTGTAGTCACGGTTGTGTACTTCCTGTGTGTAGTCACAGTTTTGTACTTCCTGTGTGTAGTCACGGTTGTGTATTTCCTGTGTGTAGTCACAGTTGTGTACTTCCTGTGTGTAGTCACGGTTGTGTACTTCCTGTGTGTAGTCACAGTTGGTCTACTTCCTGTGTGTAGTCACGGTTGTGTACTTCCTGTGTGTAGTCACAGTTGTGTACTTCCTGTCTGTAGTCACGGTTGTGTACTTCCTGTGTGTAGTCACAGTTGTGTACTTCCTGTGTGTAGTCACAGTTGTGTACTTCCTGTGTGTAGTCACGGTTGTGTACTTCCTGTGTGTAGTCACAGTTGTGTACTTCCTGCGTGTAGTCACAGTTGTGTATTTCCTGCGTGTAGTCACAGTTGGTCTACTTCCTGTGTGTAGTCACAGTTGTGTACTTCCTGTGTGTAGTCACGGTTGTGTACTTCCTGTGTGTAGTCACGGTTGTGTACTTCCTGTGTGTTACCTCTGTGGCTGAGACAGCTGATCGGATCTCACGCTTTATTTGAGCTTCGCGAAAAGCTTCGTAGAAGTTCTGGTCGGACGCCATGGTAACGGTAAGAACGGCGCTGTAGGCATGACGAAGCTTTGTGCTATTGGTCAGCTGAGGGAATATCACATCCTGATTGGACAGAAGAGTGAGTGTAAGTTTTATTGTGAAAGGGGACTTCCTCTTTGTGTTACTCAGATTATTGAATTTTCCATTTTTATGTTTCTTCATATTTTACATGACGCCCCAACTTTTAGAAACTAAAGTGGCGCCCCCTCAGGTTACAGAGGGAACTACTGATGAAGTTATTTTCTGTTTGGTGTTAAGTATCGATCACCTGGTACGGCATGGCGTACAGCAGGGCGTCATATGGAATAAACACGTAGCCATCAGAAATCATCCCCATTTCCAGTGCAGTCAATAGAAGCTCTCGCTGGTCCTCTCCACCAATCAGGACGGAGGTCATGCACAGGATCACCACTGAGACAAAAAATCAGGTAGAGAAGGAAAAATCATAAGAAAATTGACCTTTTAAAGATTTTTATTTTATTTTGAAATAGTTCATTTTTGTGTTAATCCATCAGATTTGATTTTAAACTCTGACCTTTGACCCTGTCCGCCTCTCGGATAGCTTTAAGCGCTTCACGAGGTCCGCCGTTTTTCTTTGAGTCCATGGTAACCACTGGACCAATGGGCAGTCCCAGAGCTCTCAGTGCTGAGGCCACTTCCTGCCCAGTGCTCTCCCATAGGTCAGACGGAGCTGAGCGAACAGGAAGAGGCGGGACAATGTTAAAATTACAACAATTATTACTTTTAAATAACAGGACAGATCAAGCATAACCCTGATTGGTTGTGTGATTTAAATCTAATTTTCACCATAATTTAAACGAAATAAAGATTTAATTAAATGTTTTCATCGCTCCTGGCAGACCCCGACCCCGTTACTCTAAGGCCACGCCCTCCACAGTGACATCACTCCTGTTAGACCTCGACCCTGTTACTTTGTGGCCACGCCTCCTCACCTGAGATGACGCCAACGTGCGCCCAGCGGAAGAACCTGAGCACAGTGAACAGTACTTTGCTTGGAGGAGTGATGGGAGGTAGGTTTGGCCAATCAGCAGCAAGGCATCCAGGAGAGGCAAGGCCCGCCTCCCAATGCTGAGCCAATAGGGAAGCTGCATGACATAGGGCGGGGTTAAAGGGTCCAATGTAGGCGTGGCCGTAGCCCTCCAGCTCCCCAAGTTCTGTGAGTGCTGAAAAAAAATCAGAGAAGAAGAGAATTTATTGGTCAAGAAAAACAATTGTTAATGTTAATTGATGATGTCATGTTGTTTTCTGTTTATCACACTGTTGGAGGCGGGGCTTATTTCCATCATTAAACTAATAATCATGGCTCATAAACAGTCTGATTGTAATCCACTGTCTGAAAATGTGTGTTTCTCTCTAATCTTTCTTGATTGATAAACTGCTGTTTTGATTGGTTGACAAACCTTTGGAGGCGGAGCAATCTTCACTCAGCAGTTTGATATCGTACCAGTATCCTCTGCTCAGACCGCTGTCGCTGCGTAACCGTGACAACGCCAGGTTAGCTGCAGCCGTTGGCATCGCTCTGGAGAACATGGGGTCACATGACCACGGACCAATCAGAGCCAGCTTAAAGGTCGCTGTCCTGACATCCGTGATGCATAGCAACCACAGGAAAATGCCTAGCAACCACCTGGAAGGCTGCATCCTGGGGACCTGACGATGTGAAATTAAACAAATACCAACCAAAAATATTAATTTAAAAACATATGTTCTGATAAAGTAATAAATATACACATGGTCAGAAAAATATAATAATAATGATAACAATAATAAAATGTTAAAGGATTGCAAAAATAAGTCAGACAGGTCAGACGGGACCCATAACGCAGCACACTGTAAGACAAGACCCTGAACGCAGCACATGGTCATTGTTAGAAATGATCGTGAATGTAGCACATGGTCAGACAGGACCCTGAATGCATCATATTGTTAAACAGGACCCTGAACACAGCACATGGTCAGACAGGACCCTGAATGCATCATATTGTTAAACAGGACCCTGAACACAGCACATGGTCAGACAGGACCCTGAACACAGCACATGGTCAGACAGGACCCTGAATGCATCATATTGTCAGACAGGATCCTGAACACAGCACATGGTCAGACAGGACCCTGAATGCAGCATATTGTCAGACAGGATCCTGAACACAGCACATGGTCAGACAGGACCCTGAATGCAGCATATTGTCAGACAGGACCCTGAATGCAGCACATTGTAAGACAGGACCCTGAATGCAGCACATTGTAGCACAGGATCCTGAACACAGCACATTGTAAGACAGGACCCTGAATGCAGCATATTGTCAGACAGGACCCTGAATGCAGCATATTGTCAGACAGGACCCTGAATGCAGCACATTGTAAGACAGGACCCTGAATGCAGCACATTGTAGGACAGGATCCTGAACACAGCATATTGTCAGACAGGACCCTGAACGCAGCACATGGTCAGACAGGACCCTGAATGCAGCACATTGTAGGACAAGACCCTGAACAAAGCACATTGTAAGACAGGACCCTGAATGCAGCACATTGTAAGACAGGACCGTGAATGCAGCACATGTCAGACAGGACCCTGAACACAGCACATGGTCAGACAGGACCCTGAACGTAGCACAATGTCAGACAGGACTCTGAACACAGCGCATGGTCAGACAGGACCCTGAACACAGCACAATGTCAGACAGGACCCTGAACACAGCACAATGTCAGACAGGACTCTGAACACAGCGCATGGTCAGACAGGACCCTGAACACAGCACATGGTCAGACAGGACCCTGAACACAGCACAATGTCAGACAGGACCCTGAACACAGCACATGGTCAGACAGGACCCTGAACACAGCACAATGTCAGACAGGACCCTGAACACAGCACAATCACGGTTCACAGTCTTTCCTGTAGAATCACAACTATCAGTTTGTGAGCAATTCTGAGTGAAGCTCATATTTGGAGACTTTGAAAGTGACATCATTCTGACTGAATCAAAGAACAACAGATAGATGATCAACATTCACTTTACTCACATGTTGACCTCTAATCGAGGTCATAAAGAGTTCACAGATTAACACAGTTCAGAGAGATGAAGGTGAAAGGGATCCAGTGAACAGTAATCAGACATTGTGTTGTGTTCAAGGTCTGACAAGTGAAATGAGACGATTGAGAAGTTGATCTGTATCATGTGACAATCTTTTTTCTCCCTCAGACTCTGACCCTTTTGACCGGTCTGACCATTGACCTCTAATCCGCAAATGTTAATGCTGACTGACCCCATTAGCTAATGCTGAAGACAGCTAAGAGCGCTAAGTTTAGCAACAATGCTAACGCTCTTAAGACAAGCTGAGAGGTAGAGAGGACACATCTACCTGAGCCCCACCCCCTCAACTGATTACATCATAACCTCAACCATTACTACTACTAATAATAAGGTTACATTATTATTATTATTATTATTATTATTATTATTAATAATTTAAAAGTTTAAAATTAGAGACTATCAAGGAAACACACCAAAGTGTTGATGACATCATCCTAAACGTTTGTCAATCTGTGATTACTGATTGGCTGTGATAAACCTGATTCAGGTCTATGAGCCAGTAAAACACCTTTCAACAGATGATTCATGTAAACATGACAACAGAGACGTAAAACATGAGAGGGGTTAGAGACGATGACTGAGTATCTCAGAGCTAAAGAAGATGTTTCTGATTCTGACTGAATCATTTTGAGAACAAAACCTGAAGGAAGGACTCTGATCAGACACCTGAACACCACACAGGAAGTGATCTGACTTTATCTGTCTCCATCTCTCTGCTGAGTTTCAAGTTTCTGACCATTACAGGAAGATGTTCTGCGTCATGGTGGATTCATGTTGGGTCTCTGATGGATGGATGGATGGATGGATGATTGGATGAATGGACATTTTCATGGAAGGTTGGATGGATGGATGGAGGGATGATTTGATGGATGGATGATTTGATGGATGGATTGATGGATGGATGGATGGATGGATGGATGGATGGATGGATGATTTGATGGATGGATGGATGATTTGATGGATGGATGGATGGATGGATGGATGATTTGATGGATGGATGGATGGATGGATGATTTGATGGATGGATGGATGGATGGATGATTTGATGGATGGATGGATGGATGGATGATTTGATGGATGGATTGATGGATGGATTGATGGATGGATGATTTGATGGATGGATGGATGGATGGATGGATGATTTGATGGATGGATTGATGGATGGATGATTTGATGGATGGATTGATGGATGGATCAAGGTCGTTCATCCCATCTGCCGTCAGACTCTTTAACAACATCACCACCTCATGCTACACACTGTGTGTGTTTTTTTAAGAACAAGTTACTGTGTCATTTTACATTATTGTATTTTTTTACATTATTGTATTTTTTTATTTAAATGATGTAAATATGTTTGATTTGATTTTAACTTCTATTTTTATTTTTTATGAGTATATTCCCGTCCCCTGTTTTCTGGAGCTGCTGTAATGCACAAATTTCCCCCACGGGGGATCAATCAAGTTTATCTTCATCTTCATCTTCATCTTTATCTTTATCTTTATCTTTATGGATGGATGGATGGATGGATGGATGATTTGATGGATGGATTGATGGTTGGATGGATGGATGGATGGATGATTTGATGGATGGATTGATGGTTGGATGGATGGATTATTTGATGGATGGATTGATGGATGGATGGATGGATGGATGGATGGATGGATGGATGATTTGATGGATGGAGGGATGATTTGATGGATGGATGGATGGATGATGGATGGATGATGGATGGATGGATGGATGATTTGATGGATGGAGGGATGATTTGATGGATGGATTGATGGATGGATGGATGGATGGATGGATGGATAGATGGATGGATGGATGATTTGATGGATGGAGGGATGATTTGATGGATGGATGATGGATGGATGGATGGATGGATGATTTGATGGATAATTGATGGATGGATGGATGGATGGAGGGAGGGAGGGATGATTTGATAGATGATAGATGGGGGGATGGGTAGATGGATAGATGATTTGATGGATGGATTGATGGATGATTTGATGGATGGATTGATGGATGATGGATGGATGGATTGATGGATGATGGATGGATGGATGGAGGGATGATTTGATGGATGGATGAATGGATGATGGATGGATGGATGATTTGATGGATGGATGGATGGATGGATGGAGGGAGGGATGATTTGATGGATGGATGGATGATTTGATGGATGGATGGATGGATGGATGGATGGATGGATGGATGGAGGGAGGGATGATTTGATGGATGGATGGATGGATGATTTGATGGATGGATGGATGGATGGATGGATGGAGGGAGGGATGATTTGATGGATGGATGGATGGATGATTTGATGGATGGAGGGATGATTTGATGGATGGATGAATGGATGATGGATGGATGGATGATTTGATGGATGGATGGATGGATGGATGGGGGATGATTTGATAGATGGATGGATGGATGGATGGATGATTTGATCTATAATTGAGTCTGTAATACTAACTTGTTAAAATATTAGATATAAAGGTACATTTCATCCTGTGTCAGTCCTCTTAAAGCTCTGTACCTTCATAACTCAAGCTGCTGGTTTTCAAAGTGAGTAACTTTCTAAATGTTCTGTTTAAACCTGCATCATCTTTAGCAACCTGTAAATCTGAAATATCAGTCTGTAAAAATAAATCTGTAAAAACTGCAAAATTGCATAAATGTGTAGAAATGATAAAAGTAAAAGTATAAAAAAGGTATCTGTAACATTTTCCTTGGATGAATTCTTTTGATCGCTTCAAACTGTTTCAAGGTGAGATCAGAGACCAGAGGCTCAGGTGACACCTTAAATCCAATCACAGTAAAGCACACACACACACACACACACACACACACACACACACACACACACACACACACACACACACACACACACCTGAAAGCTGTAAATTCGATTTGTCAGAACAAGCTGCTGCTCTGTGATTGGCTCATTGAAACCAGGTCAAACTGCATTCTTTGTTCTTCAGTCTGAAGATTTCCATCAGTTCAAACTTCTTTCTCTCTTGATTTTTTACATTTTTAATTCATAAATTAATAAACATCAAATCACCAAACTGTTGGTTTTGTAAAGTAAATACCAAGTCAAGCTTTCTACATAAACACAATGAGAGCACATGGTTTCTGTCCCGGAAGACACTTAACAAACTCTCACTACACGTAAAGATGACATCACTAAAACGCTGTCATTTACATATTTCAGGTTTGTCTTTGAGAGATTCTTTGTTTTCTTTAAACTGTGAACACTTCCCTTTTCACGACTGAGATTGTTTCTGGCTTTCTTCAAGTCAATGACTCGGCTTCACTTTATAAAATGTAGAAACAATAGGGACAGAGTTGTTATTATTTTATATTAATATAATAATATTAAAAGCAATGTGAGATTGCTGCTGGTTGCTTTCTTTATCTTTTTTAAATTAAAGAAACTCTCCAGGTGGATAGATTTCAGTCACATGTGTTCAATAATCTGTTGATTTAATCAGGTGAAGCATCACCTCAGGTTGTTAAAGACGGAACAGTGGGAAG